CAGCAGCAGTAAACGCTCCCAAACCCGCACCAGTATGGGGTGTTCGGGGAAGGAAGTGTAGCTGTTGGTCTACACACACTGGGCATTGAAGTCAGTTTATTTCCCAGAGAATAAAGTTGATGTCATCACCACTCTGCTGGTTTTAATAAGGTGGGGGAGCACCCCCTTTATCAGCCACGGTGTTTGGGTTCTTTGTGTCCATGGAAGTGTGACTGTTGGGGCAGTGTGTCCCTGTGGGCGGCCGGCAGAACTCAGAGATGCCCCAGGGACTCCTGCCCACGGTGTGTGAATGCCTCCTCCCAGCCATTCACTCCAACACTGATCTGAGGTTGCTGTGCAGAGACTGTGGTTTTGCTTGTATGATTGTCCTCGATCCATTGATTTTTAAAAAGGCAGGATCCTGGGTGGGTCTGACCGAATGAGGTGAGCCTTTAAAAGGACCAGGGCTCTTTGGGGCAAAGAGATTTGGAGCCTGAGGGGGAGTCAACTCAAAGGAGAGTCTCCGCTGCTGGCTTTGAGGATGGAGGGGCCGTGTAGGGAGGAGGCAGGTGGCCCCTGGGAACTGAGAGCCACCCCTTGCACCCCGGCAGGAACAGGGCTCAGTTCTGTGGCCACAGGGGAGCACTGACGGAGCCTGGAGGGGGACCCCGAGTCCCAGATGAGCACACAGCCAGCGACGCTTTGACTGCAGGCTGCAATTCCCTGAGCAGAGCTCCCTCCGGGCCCTGCAGAACCGTGAGGGAAACGTGGGTCTTGTGAAAACCGCCAGGCTTCTGGTGCTACGTAAAGCAGCATAAAGCAAACAGCAGCAAACGCACAGTGTGTCTAAATTTGAACGTGGATGTCAGACGAGCTGTGAAAGGAGAGGACGGCTGCGTGCGTGAAGGTAGAAATCGTCGTCAGCCTGCACTTGCAATCATGTGTCGTGAGAATCTGTCCCAGTTTGGCCTCGAGTTTCATGACCTTGCGGGCATCACCAGGGTCCGTCCACTCACTACTCTTCACGAGTTTCCAGCCGGATTATTGCACCTTCTTGATCGCTTCCTCCTCCTGCCCCCCGGCGGCTGGTGACCCCAGGTGTCTGGCTTAGCCCCTCAAGATCTCACACACCCAGTGCCATGAGCCTTCCCCTCCCCGATAGCCTCTTCCCTGACCGTCTCCGATGTACGCCTTCCTTGGTCTGTGGCTTCTGCTTGGGTGTCCCTCAGGCACCTCACACTCAGCATGGGGTCCTGGGTCCTGCCCACACCACCTCCAGCCACCGCCCCCACGTCATTGCCTTCATGTTCCTCACTCCCCTTCCTACCCGGGCCTGATTCTCCATCAGGCAATGCAGGAACAGGGCTGAGGGTCACAATACTTTAAGGGGCCTACGAAAATATTTCTGTTTCTTTTAAAATCTGGCGGGGAGGACATAGCTCAGTGGTAGAGCGCATGTTTAGCATACACGAGGTCCTGGGTTCAATCCCCAGTACTTCCACTAAAAAAAAGCAAATAAATAAACCTAATTTATAAATTAATAAAACCCCCCCAACAAAATAAAATGATTTAAATAAATAAATAAACCTGATTACCTCCCCCTCCAAAAAATATTCTTTTAAAAATCAGAAGGAGGAAAAAAACTTGTAAGTTGAAGAAAGTGCTTTAATATGTTACATTAATTTATTTATCTGTATGCTCGCACAGTTATAAAATATGTTAAATATTTTTCCCTGGAGGAAGAGGCCCATGGAAGCGAAAGGGCCCATGGAAGCGAAAGGGCCCACGGAAGTCACAGTGCAGTCCTGACCTGCCTTAGTTTCTAGGGAAGCAGTGTCTGCTGATGGGGCGTGCAGTGCCTTCCCTGTGCCCGGGAGGTGGGAGGGGGCCTCTGTGACGTGATCTCTCTGGATGTCTTGCTGCTCCGGCGACTGGGAAGGGTTGCAAATCGCTGGTAATTTGCAGCCACTGCCTTGGGCCTCCTCCACCCTGACGGGGGTGAGTTCAAGGCAGGAAGCGCCCCGTTGCCTTCTTTTACCTGCTTACGTACTTTGACACGTGTCTCGTGATGAGAGGTGGCTGGTCCCTGGGGGACGTGGGAACGATTCGCTGTTCCCCAGAGGTGCTCCGGTTCCATTCCCAGCATCGTCCCAACAGGGACTGTGGCAGGTCCACGTGGCCCCGCCTGTCACCCCTTCGCCACTCCCCCAACCCAGAGGGCACCCACGCTTCCAAAGAGAGCAGAGAGGGCGGGGGAGAACCCGTGCAACCGAGTCTGGTCTGGAAATCAGAGGGGTGACGTTTTGAAGGCATACCGTGCTTTAAGGCCCAAGTTACCCTGGATAATGTGCCTTCCCAAACACTGACTTTATCGCTAAAAATGAGATAGCAAAGCTCTGGCTCACCCAGTGCCTCAGCTGGTAAAGCTCTTGACAAGAAACCACTAGAAAGAAGTAATGCTCTCCGGGTTATTAGCTCTAGGAGAGAAGCAGTGTTCTCTGAATTTAGACACTGGCCCCTTTCGCTATTAGGACTGAAGCAGGGCAGGGTGATTCTGCTGCCGCAGGTCGCCCTGAGGTGGCCACGTGTGGCGCTGCTCACGCCAGGTCGGCCTCCCCTCGTGAATCGAGGGCTGCAGCTTCCCCGGGAGGGGCGCTGTCTTGTGTGCTGCTTTGCTGGGGCATCCGAGGTTGGCACGTGTGTTTCTGGGCCACCCTCTGACACTGACATACACCTGCTGCATCCGAAGCTGAGAGCCAGGTAACCACTGACGGTGTGCAGGAAACCTCAGCGTCTCGGCGTGGGGAGTTCAGACCTCCTGGGGGACCGCTGGGCTTGTCAGTGTCTGGGGAGTTCTGAGTGTAAGTCAGGGCTCTGATGCTAGCGGATCCGTTTTCTAGCCTTTGTAGACCTTCGTCTGGGTTCTGCCTTGGAAAGCTCTTAACCATTCCGCAGCACAGCTCTCTAGCCAGAGAAGAGCTCTTGGGTCCTTCCGTGGTCCTCTGTGGGGTACCTTGTCAGGGCAGCCCCACCACAGATCCGCGAACCCATCCCACTTCGCTTTATGCCTTGGAGAGTGTGGCCTCCAGGAGAACCGATCATGATATGACCAAGAGGAATGAGACAGCCACCACCCTTGTCTTTGAGGCCGCCGCGATCCCCGTTAACTTCTTGGTCGTGGTGTCCGATGCCTGAAGCCGCCCATCTCTAAGGTTTGAGTGTTTTTGTTTGTTTTCTAAACCTTTTCTTGCCAAGCCTCACTTCTTGCATGCTGTCCTGGAGGCAGGTAAGGGTTTAAACTTGGGCGCAGGACTTGACCTTTCATCCTGTTGAACGCTGCCTGCCTGGGGCTGAGCGGACCAGGGACGGCCTGCTTCTCAGGGAGGACCCTGGAGACCACGCGGGGGTATTGTCAGGGTTGGGCCGAGAGGTTCCAACAACACACCTTCTGTTCCCAGGGGAGAATCGTGGGTTTGGATGGGGGATTTCCTTTCAGAAGGCACATGGGACAAAACTAACTGACCCTAAGGTATGTTTGGGGACACACAGTGCCCAGCGAGGTTGTGACGAGAGTCCAGGCAGGATGTCTGGGTGAGGGTGAGAGTCGGAGCTGGCCTTAGGTGTGGAAACCCACGGCTGTGAGCTCTTGCTGAGGGAGCGAAGGCCAGTCCTGAGACGTCCTTGCTCAGGCAGAACCACATGGGGCAGGTGGCAGAAACGATGGGCTTCTCTATCTCGGTGCTTTACCCTCTTCCCGAGGGACTCCTTCTGAGGGTTGAGGTGGTGAAGGCATAAAGACCCCAGGATGAAATGTTGGGGTCCTGCCAAGGGATCTACAAAAAATGTTCGGAGCTGTCCAGCCGCTGCCTCCCAGGTGGCGAGGGAGTCGGGTCAGCCCTGGGGACGTCTCAGGTGAGTTCTCGGGACAGAATTAGCCCTCAAAGAGGAGCTGCTTTTAGAGTTAGACCTGCACTCTCCTGCTCTTCATCTGCCTCAGAAACATCGGACACTGTATTTTGCGTGTGATCGTCCAAGGTCACTTGACCAAGTGCCTGGTCCTCGCTGGGGTCCGTCATGGTTTCTGAGGTTTCTGCGTGGGCAGTCCTGACCTCAGCGTGTCTGTGCCTCAGGGTGATCCTCATTACCCGTCAGCCATTGGTCCCGGTCCCCGACAGGCACAGAGGGCACCGCTGGCTTGTGAAACGCCGATCACAGAGGCACCTGGAACACTCCATGAGAAAAACTCCTCTCCTTCAGGGAGGGCAGTAGTTCCTAACCATACGGTGACTCTTCGTGGCTCCCTCAGCCGTAGGGAGGACCACACACTTCTCGGTTCCACTGCCATTTCCTGCGTCTACCCCTCAGGTGATGTCCATGGGTGACGTTCACGGGACAGAGAGCTTGAAAATTGCACCCTAATTCCAGCACATCCTCTTTGCCGGTCCTGGGACCTCAGATGAGTTTTAAATCCCATATCCCGTCTCCCCTCTGCGGTATGAAGTGAATACTGTCTCTTCTCCCCGCAAGGCGGTTTCTGCAAACAGTAAGGGAAACCATCACTGTGGACATACTTTGTGAATTAAAAAGCTGTGTTCAAGCGGAAAGTGCACAGATAAGTTTATCCCTTACAGGTGAGGTAGCCTTTCCTTCCCTTTGCTGTGAACGTAAGTGGCTCCTGTGTTTCAGAACCAGGGATGTGTCTGCACTTGACCTCATCTGCCAGGTTCATGACTTGTAACTATTTGACCTTTTCCTTCTCTGCCTTCACGTTTCCAAGCTGAAGAGTCTCGGGCTGAGCCACCAGCTCTCCGGGCTGCAGGGTAGCCTTGGGAGTGACCCAGGGCCTCTGGGCTGCGGAGGTGACGGGGCCGTGACCGTCGGGGCTGCGGAACCAGTGGCCCAAGGCGGGGTGGCTTTCCCACACATGCCCAGCCCACGACAGAAGCCTGTGCTTCCTGGAGGGTTGGGCCCCAGCCTGATAACACTGTGAGCTCCCTGACCCCAGTGTGTTTCTCTTGAAGATTTACGTCCACCTGAAGGAAGGCGGGGGCCCTGACGGGCTGGATGCGCTGAAGAATAAGCCGCAGCTGCATGGCATGGTGGCCAGGAGCCTGTGCCGGAACGCGGCCGGGAGGAACTACATCATCTTCACCGGACCCAGCATCACCAGCCTGACCCTGTTCGAGGAGTTTGAGAAGCAAGGTTTGTCCAGGGGTGAGCGGGGCTGAGCACGGCCCCTCCCCGACTGGGAGCCATGCTGGGTGAGGCTGAGGGGCCAGGGATGTGGAGGGCAGCCCAGACCACGGGGTGCTGGGGAGGAGGCCCTGCTGCAGGCCTGCACCCTACTGGGCACCAGAGATCGAGAGGGATCCAGGCTTAGGCTCGGGGTCTGGGGGAGAGGTCAGTGCAGAGTTCTGCCCAGACTTCCACGTGCCTCTCTGTGTCCTTTGTTGTAAGGCCAGGGCCACCCAAGCAGACTTTCTAGTGTTTTAGTCCCTTCAGGCTGCTGAAGCAAAGTACCTCTGTGGGGGCGGCTTACAGACGACAGTAGTTTATTGCTCACAGTCCTGGAGGCCGGGAGTCCAAGACCGGGGTGCCAGCATGGTCGGGTGAGGCCCTCTTCCAGGTCGCAGACTTCTCGTTGCATCCTCGCATGAGCAGGGCAGGCGAGCTCTGTGGGGCCTCTCTTACAAGGGCACTAATCCCCTTGCGAGGGCACCACCCTCAGGGCCCCAGCACCTCCCCGAGGCCCACCTCCAGGTACCATCCCCTCAGGCATTAGGTTTTCAACATAGGGATTTTGGGGGGTCACAGATACTCAATCTGTAGCACCAAGGCATGGGTCCTACTAAGGCTCTCAGGAAGGCTGAGCTCCCCTCCCGTCCTCGCCCGTCTGTGAGGCTGCCCTTCCGGCGGGCAGACGGGGATCGTGTAGACGCGGCAGAGAATGGTGCGGGTTATTAGCACAGCGGTGATGCAGCGGGCCTCGGGGAGGTGTGTGCTCCCCTCAGGGCCGAGACGCCTGGCTGGTTTGTTGCAAAGATCGGGCAAGCCTTCTGTGGCCCTGGCAGAAACGGGCCCATAGAACCAGACCCCAGCCGAGCCCGGCAGCCCGGCACCTGCCTTCACCTCATCCTGCGTTTGGGATTTACATCCGTTCCTCTCAAGAGAAACACAGAAAGCCCCCACTCAGCTCCTCCAGCCGCCGGGATTGCAGACCTGTTGCTTAGCAACGGATCTGATGTCTGGCCTTAAAAGCCAGCCCTCTTGCGTAATGGGGAGCCAGCAGCTTTGACCTGTGGCCTCAGCAGCTGCGATGAGGAGGCAGCCCCTGGACCTGGGGCTCCTGCTGGCCCGGGCTGTGTCTCACCCATCGGCAAGTCTGACCCCAGCAGGGCTCAGGGTTTAAGTGTTGAGAGAACTCAGTGTGGAGAGATCAGACTATGTGAAGAGGGGCTGTGGAAGTCAGCTGGAGAAAACCGGCCCTAATGCACATTAACCCAGCACAGCGGTTCCCGTGTTAGATCATCGGGTGAGAGCCAGGGCCACCCTGCCCTCTCGCCTGCTCTCGCAGGCCCCAGTGGGAGTGTCATGTGCGTGGAATGAAGCCGGGGGTCCCCAGAACTTCCCTGAGAGCACTCGTGTGCCCTCTGGGCCCGCTGCCTGCCTCACACTGCGTGTGCTCCATCACCTGGACCGAGAGGCAGGTGGTGTGGTCAGGAGCGGCTTAGGTCTGTGGGGTGGCACTGGCGGGGTGCAGGGTAAGGATGCCGGGGGCCATCACTGCTGTTCCCAAGAGCTGGGGCATGCCGGCCTGTGTTCTGGGAAGGAGACCCTTTCCTGCCCAGGGAATTAGGGGAGGATGGAGGAGAATCTTCTCGTAGAACAGAAAAATTAGACATGGAGTTTCAGTTTTTCCAAGAGCAGAGAAAGATTTCATGCCTGTTTGTTAAAAGCACGTAAGGCGAGGGATCCCCCCCACAGGGCTCCCGGGCTTCCCCTGCGATGACAAGCACGCAGGGAGGGGCTCCTGCTCATCCCCCACGCAGAGGGCTGCGCCCACCCCCAGGGACTCTGTGGGCCTTGTCTGGGCTGGTGCCCCCGGGGGTGCTAGTGAGCAGCTAGGGTGGAAGACGGGGTCATGTGAGGGTCTGGCTGTCCCTCCTGGCTGCGCAGGGACCGTTTTGTAAAATGACGGCCAGGAAAGACATTCATGTACGCATCGCTGTTCTCATAAGTTAGGAAAATGCAGCTGCTCTTTGGCAGGCTGTGTCTCCCGAGCCTGATGGGTGATTTAAAACATCTTATCCTCTTTCGTCTAATCCTCTTCCTTGTTTTAAAGATAGGTGGTTCCTTTTAAATCTCAAGGCCAGCGGAGTTTGGGTGGTTGGATCTGCGGAGATGCGAGCCCTCTTCTTCTGGGCGACAAGGCTGGGTGTGCCCCCAGTGGGTCTTACCCCGCACCCGCTGCTGCTCCCCCGGCCAGGAGGAGGACAGGGCTCCATCAGATGGTCCTTCCAGCATCTGGGTGGGATGCAGTGATGAGGAAAGCGCAGGTGTGGAATGTGGAATGTTTCCAGTCACTGCCGATCGTATCAGTGAGCCCGGGGGCTGCCGTCAAAGTGCCACCTCACATCCTCTCCAGGCGTGGGGAGAAGTGGGGGGGCCCACAAGCAGGGAGGGCTGAGGAAGTCCTTGACTCCAGGCAGAATTTAGAGAACCTTCCTTGTTCCTACTCGTCCTGCCCCTGTAGGACACTCTGGGCTCCAGAGGCCCCGGTCAGGGTCCTCCCTCAGGAAGCTCCACCACCCACTGGCACTGCCCAGGCAGGACCCCTGCGCAGTGCACAGCTTGTGATGGTTCACCCCCCCGCATCTCCCTGGCTCCACGCGGTGGGGCTGCCCCGGGTGCCTGAAGACGGCGAGTCTTGGTGAGAGCATCGGGGTGAACGACTGCGGTGAGGTTTAGACAGCAGACAGACCTGTGCTTATAACACCTGTCTTTGCCCGCCCGGCTGGGAGCCTGCAGTTCCTGTGCATGACGTGAGCAGATGGGATGCTGGGTGCACAGGCTCAGCGCTGCTGCTGGTCATTACCGTCCACTCCCTGCTTGTGTTATGACTTCCAGAGGCTGGGGGAGACCGCACTTCTGGGGTGCAAGCCCCCCGACTTCAGCATCTCTCCCAGGGGAACTCGCAGAGGGCTGGTCCCCGCAGCGCAGGGCGTGCGCGGGGCCGGGCAGCCGCTCTGAGGGCGCGTGCGGTGCTGTGTCCCTGCAGGGATCTACTGCTGCGGCCTGCTCAGTCCCCGGAAGAGCGACTGCACCGGCCTGCCGCCGTCCATGCTGAGCGACCCGGCCTCGCCGCCCGCCCGCGGCCAGCACCAGATCCGGACCAAGGGGAGCATGTCTCTGATCTGCTGGTACAACAAGGGGCCCTTCCGCTTCCTCACCAACGCCTACTCGCCCGTTCAACAAGGTGGGTGCATCGTGGGCGCGGGGCCAAGGGAGGTGGGTGACCCCGGGCCAGGGGGGCAGAGGGAGGTTATGCCGCTCTGGGGACAGGCTGTGCTCACCTTGCAGCTTCTGGGCCACGTAGTAATGGCTGCTGCATCTCCCAGGGAGGCGAGAGCATCCCGGGCTGGCGGGCCGGCAGCTCCCCATTCCCCGCCAGCTGTCAAGAGAAGCCACGAAGCAGGCATTATGGGTGGCTGATGCAGCCTCCTGCAGGTCCCCCAGGTCACCCGTGGGGGTGACCGTGGGTGTGACACTGGGCTGCGTTTGAGCAGCATCACTTTAGCTTCTGGGATTCTGCGAAAGCTCTATTCTGATGGGCAGGAAAAACAATCGCCTTTCTCATCTTGACAGTATCTTCCTTAGAAGTTCATCACTTGCTTGGGGTTTTTTGGGTGTTGTGTTTCTAGCATCATTAATTTCCCCTGGGATTTAAAGTCCATTCATAACAGGGATTTGTTTAGCAAGGAGGCTGTATGTAAGTTAACCTGCCGCTAAAACATCATGAAACTGCAGAAAAGGAAATTGCAATGACAAAGGGACACTTTACCAAAACATTTACAGTTGTGGCGTTATTTGAAAAGTCCCCTGTGTTCCTTCCCAGTAAGACATCTTTCCTCTTTGCTACTGAGGGAACATTGCCGGGGAGCTCAGGTGTCTGTGTGTGTGTCTGCATGTGTGTGGTGGGTGTATATGTGATGTGTGTTTGATACATACACGTGTGTGTCTTTAGGGTCTGTTCATTCATTCCCGTCCCTGAGTACCCCCCACACCTAAGTCACGTTATGTCTCAGTGACAGTTACAATCCAGGGACTCAAGTACTTGGGTGTCATTATCCCACTGAGCTGTGGAGGGTGTAGGAAGCCCCCCTCTTCCAGTGTTCTGTCCAGGCGCTTAGAGGAGAGGTTTGGAATTGACCTTGTCAGCTGAGGGCAAGTTTGAGCTGGACTTTGCTCCCTGACGGGTGGGGCCGGAGCGAGTCCAGGCTCCTGTGCCGGTGACGGTGCCGGAGCTGGTACCTACCAGGCTAGCTGAGGTGACGGGCTCTGGACGGATGTCCTGAAGCAGGACATCTGCGCTAGTCTGAGCGGAGTGAAACGAGGGAGTGACGAGAAAGAGACTGCATGTGGGGAGGTGAGGGGAAAGCCTGCGGTGAGATTTGAGATGACAGACCTGAAAGCTCCAGTCTCAGGGACGGGGCCCGTAGATCAGAGTCCAGCGGGATGAGGCAGCAGGCTACCCAGGGGGCAGGAGAGAAAACTGGGCGGGTTGATTTTTTGTTTTGGTGGTTTATTTTATTTTATTTTTTTTGGAGGAGGGTGGTAATTAGGTTTATTTAGGTATTTTTTTGGTTAATTTTTTTTTTAGTGGAGGTACTGGGGATTGAACCCAGGACTTTGTGCACTGGACAGGTTGATTTTTAAATATGCTGAAACTGGTGTTTGTGTTCCGCTCAGTTCCAGTTCCCATTTGTAAAGGACATACTCAGTTATACATCGTAAATTCCCAAACCCTAGATGCCCTTAAAAGTCCCAAGGAGTGTGCCCACAGCGTCCCTGTAGACTGACCCCCACCCCCAGGCCCCTGGTCCCTCCCAGGGGCCTGTGGGCAGAGCTCCCAGCACGGGGTGTGTGAGCCCCTGTGAGCCAGGCTGGGTGGAGACCCTGGGCGTGGCAGCTGGGGCTTGCAGAGCTCAGGCTGTGTGGCCAGCGTGCTCCCCACGGGGATCCCTTTTCCTGGTCCATATCCTAGAATCAACTTTTTTAATTTTGCTTTTTAAAAAATTGTTTTAGTTGTTTTTGTGGGGGGAGGGGGTGCTTAGTTTTTTTTGATTAGTTGATTGATTGACTGACTGATTGATGGAGGTATTGGGGACTGAACCCAGGACCTCGTACATGCAAAGCATGTGCTCTGCCACTGAGCTCTGCCCTCCCCCCCATTTGTTTTTTAATGAAAGGACATGCTTTTTCTTCCAGTGTACTTCAAAGACATGATTTTTAAAAACCACCTCCTAGGATGTAGCATAATTTCTTTATCGCACCCCTATTAATGCTCGTTTTATTCACAGTGTGAATTATGATGCAGTGAAGATCTTCATACGTAAATCTTTGGGTACATCTTTGATCATTTCCTCAAGATAAACCTAAAAGTAGAAAGACTGGGTCAAAGAATCTGAACGTGTTTTAAAGGCTTTTGATGTGGCGTTTTGCCAGAGGCTGTACTTACAACCCCTGCAGTGAGTCATGGAGGGACTGGCGTCTTTCCTGCTTCACCAGCACTATGTTTTTTCTTTTCTAAATTTGTCAATCTGCTGGCTGAAAAGGCTACAAAATTTTAAACATAAATTGCTGTGACTAGTGGTGAAGGTTGACCATCTCGCCATGTGTTTATCGGCTAATTTTCAGTAATTTCTTTGTATTCTTCTCAACTTTTCTGTTGAGGTATTTGTCTTCTGAATTTGACAGCACATGTCATGCCTATAGCAGCTATTTTTCTGCATTCGTGTTCCTTCTGGTTCTATTTAAGCTTAGTGTTTTTAACACACAAAGGGTGTTCATGTCTGCGTACCATGTGGGCTTGTCACGTTCTGTGCTCTCATGCTTTAGAAGCCCCCGCTCTGTCCCAAAGCCGGTGAGTCTAGGTTCACCTGGTTGTTTCGTGGTGTGATTTTGTTCTCTTGGCGGTGACCCCCTAGGAATTTATTTTGATATGTGGCAACAGTGGGGCTGCTACTGTTTTTTCGGTTTGCTTTTGTTTTTTAATTAAGTGCCAAGGTTTGATTGACCGAGCAGCCCCTACCTCTGTACCTGAACCATTTATCAAAGAACCCTTCCATTCCTTCCCTGTTTGAACCGTTACCCAGATGACAAAGTCTCCATAAAGACTCTTCTCAGCTTCACACTCTCTTCTACTGTGACCGTATCTACTCTTCGAAAAGTTGAGCAGAATTTCCAATTTTAGAAAATGTGTAATGAGTTATGAACATTGGGGAACTGGTCTCGTCTCCTTTACTGCAGCTCCTAAGGGGAAATGAGCCCTCTTTCAAAGAGGCTGAGTGCATGCACCAGCTTTTTAAAAGCCACACACTGTCACTTGCCGAGGGATGTCCCCACGGAGAACCAAATCCTTTGGCTTTTCTTCCAGAATCCATTAGGAGTCTGTCATCTCCTCATCTCCGTCCAGCTCCCTCTTTGCCCACTTAGGGTTCAGATTCCATGAGATGAATGTAAATGTGGAAAGTCCGCATGAGACCGTGAGTTGGGGCCCGACTCACGCACTCCGACTGACAAAATGGCAGAAGAAATGTCAACCCAGCCACGAGAAGCCCGGGGGAGGCGGGAAGCCGGGCCCTCTGCAGGGTGGAGACACATGGCTCTCTCACAGGCCCGTGTAGGCCTACACAGTGTCCCAGGGGTAGACACGTAGGGTCTGTGCACAGATTCGCATACGGCTGTGAGTGTCCAGGGCGAGCCAGGGAGCCCTGCACACATTCCTGGTTACAGTATCGGCAGAGACAGCACGTATCAGGTAACCTCTTGTCAACGTTTCCACTGGCTACAGCTTTTCAGTCCCCAGAAAAGGATCTTACAGGACAGCAGTCGTATCCCTGGCAGCTGGAATAGTGTCCAAAATCCATCATAGCCCCAGGGAGGAGGGTGGACTGGATTATAAAATGCTCAGAGATTGATGCAGACCTGGCTTTTGAAGCCACTCTCCTGAGATTCAAGCTCATGTTATGTTAAGGGTGAAGGGATGGCGAGGACACGGGGAGAGAAAGCAGGCCTCCCGCGGCCGAGTGTCTGGGGCAGGGGCAGCCCTGGAGCTGCGGCCCTGGCGGTGCTGAAACCAGGCGGGGAGCTCTGGGACCTCGGCCAGCACCGCATCCCCGGAGAGAGGGCCTGACCCGCTGGGTGCCCTGATGACTCAGAGCGAGTCGTCCTCTGCTTCTGGGAAAAGAATAGAGGGGATTTTGTCTCCTTCTGGGATGGGCTGACCTGCTTACATCCACATGGACTCCATGGAGCCCTAAAAGGGGCCTCTTTAGTCCCAGAGGAGGCTGGAAGTGAAAGTCGGACAAATTAAAATAGAGCTGGAGCTGGGAGGCCTGCCACGGCCATGTGCCTGGGCCGGAGTGGGGATCCGGGGCCTTCACCCACTAGGATTTGAAGTCAGGTGCGGGGATGGGTCCCCTCAGGAAGGGTGTTGCAGAGAGACAGCCCCCCTTGGAGGAAGAGAGCGCCAGCCTTGGAGAACGCTCGAGCGGCTGTACCTCCCGACAGGAGAGCCTCTGTGAAGGGACAGAGCATCCCTAAGCAGACACGTCCAGAATCCTCCCGCCAGGAGAGGCTCCGTCCTGGGCACCAAGGTCCTCTGACCTCCGGAAGCTTTAGGAGTGTGTTGCCTGGTCCCACCCCAGGCCTCCCCGGTCCGCACCTCTAGGAGTAGACATCTCAACATCTCACAAGATCTCCAGGGTTTTTATTTAGTATGAAAAATTGGTATTTGGGGAGCAGGGGCAGGAGACAAAAAAGAAAGATCTTAGCTTAGAGCTCAGCCTCTGCAAATGGATGTGTGTGGTTCTCGTCCACGGCCTGTCCCTCGGTGAGATGCCGTGTTTACTTCCACTGTGTCCGTTTACATCGTGCTGAAACTTCACAGCCCTTGAACGAACCCCTTTTTTAAAACTGGCGCTGTTCTGATCACGTCATGCTGCAGGGGAGGCCGTCAGAGGAAACGGTGTGTGACCCCAACCACACCTGAATGCGCTCTGCTCCCTGGAAGCGGGCGTCCTACCCCGTCCCCCGTATTGCCTCCAGGGTGCCGTGGGCATCCCCTGCGTCGTGTCCCTGAATCCCCTCCGGGGCACATGGACACCCGCACAGGGCGGGGCTCGGCTGCAGTGGGGTGCGGAAGGCTGGTCAGTCTCGTTTGGCTTCTCACGCCTGCTCGGTGGGACGTTTGAATCTTGCCGAGACTTTGGTAGGGGCCCTGGGGCGCGTTCCTGTTGGTATTTAGTAGAAAGAGGCATTTGAAGGCATGTCAGAGAGCGAGCTTCAGGAGCGGCTGGATATAAAGGGTTCCTTCCACCCTCAGTCCCCCAGTCCTGGGAGGCCTGAAACTGCAGGGCCTGGGGTCAGGGCAGCTCCTGGTTCCTCTGAGCCTCTGGTTCCTCCCTCTGCCTGATGGAAGCCGGCAGAGCAGGCAGAGACGGCTGATCCCCGGTCTCCCCAGCCTCCGCGGCCTCCTCCTCCCAGCCCCGCTCAGGCCCCTGGCGGAAAGAGCTGGAGCCCGAAGGAGCGAGATGGGGGAAAGTGAGTCCCGATCTCCTCCTGTGCTCTCAAGGCCCCATCGGGGGCAGCAGCCCCTCCCCGCCTAAGGCCACCTTCCTGCCGTCACGCCCCCGCTGTCCTCAGCTGGGCATTGCTGGCGGTTCTCCTGCATCTCCTCCCCTGCCCTCTGTTCTGTGAGTCGGGGTCTGTGGGAGGAGGGTCGGAAGGGAATCTGCCTTCTCTGTTGCCTGCAGGAGTGATCATCAGGAGGCGGGCTGGGCAGATCCCCTGCCCGCTGGCTGTCGAGGCGTTCGCCGCCCACCTCAGCTACATCTGCAAGTACGATGACAAGTACAGCAAGTGAGTGGGTGCGCTCGTCCGCAGGGGCCGGCGCCGCGGGCCGGGGGGTGGGCGAGCAGGCTCCCCACTCTCAGAGCCGAGACATGAGGACCCTGTGAGATAAAGCCCTGAGGCCTCAGTCCGGCAGCCACCCCAGCCCAGCCCGGCCCACGCAGCCCCCACCTCTGGACACCCCGCCCCCCCTCCCCCTCCCCTCCACTTCCGCACCCCTTGGGCCCCTCCCCCTCTGGGTCCCTCCGGCCCAGACCAGCCTCTTGCCCTCCCCACCCGCAGACCACTCACTTGGGCCCGAGGCGTCGTCACGCTGAGCCGTGGGTTTTCCATCACTGGTTACTTAATTATCTCACATCCGGATGGACACCGGCATCAGCTGTGGTGTCACAGTCAGTGCACAGTGTGGACCACACGCGCGGCGCCACCTCCAAGTGAGCCCTCCTGTCCACAGCTGGAGCTGAAGAAGTGAACCCTGCCGAACCTCAGTCTGACTATTAAATTACTGGGATGGAGCCTCCCCACCTAAAACAGGGTTGGGCTAACCTGAAAGGCAGCCGGGCACTTCCTCAGCCCGCTCCAAGGGTAATCGGCATCTCCCGGGCTGCCGGTTGGTGGAGAGGGAAACACCGGGACCTGGTGTCCTGGAAACCCCAGGTGTGCAGGGGAGCCCTGCTCCTGCGGGAGTCACGGGACGGAGGCTGTGCAGCACCTCCCGTGTGCCCAGCACCTTGCTGGCGCGTGAGGGGGTCACAGAGACATCTGCACAGACAGAGGAGACACCTGCCGGACAGCTCTGGCCGGGCGCTTCGGTGGCACTGAGGCTGCAAAGCCACGAACTGTTGGCATTCAGGGTACGAAGCCACGTGTGCAGATGGAGGACGCAGCACAGGATGGGTCCTGAGTTGCGGGGCCCCAGTGAGCACTGTCCTCAGTCTCGGGCGAGAAGGCTTTCCCTGAGGCGACACCTGTCCTCGGTCTCAGGGAAGGTGGGGGCAATGAGGAGGTGTGTGTTCAGGGAGGAGGGAGCACCGTGGGGATGGTTCAGGGTGCACAGAGCACAGCGGTTGAGCAGGGCCCTTCACAAGCAGGGAAGCCCCGCGGGCTGGGCCCCTCCAGATGCCTGGGCCACCCTGCAGGAGGCCTGGCTCCTGGCTTCAGCGTCCCCTGCAGCGACCTGCCTCCTCCCACCTGATCCTTTGATGGGCTTGTTTCCGTCCTGGTCTGAAGTTCCCGTTCCAGAGCCTCCGTGAGAGCTGACCCCTCCGGCCCGATTCCCCTCCCGCAGCCGCGGCAGCATCTCGCCAGCCCCACGAGGCCTCCCGGGAGTCCCTCCGGATGGGGCGCCCGAGCCCTGCCAGCCCCCCTTTCTCATCCCCGCTGTCCTCGCAGGTATTTCATTTCTCACAAACCAAACAAGACCTGGCAGCAAGTGTTCTGGTTTGCCGTCAGCATCGCCGTCAACAACGCCTACGTCCTGTACAAGATGTCGGACGCCTACCACGTGAAGAGGTACAGCCGGGCGCAGTTCGGTGACAGGCTCGTGCGGGAGCTGCTGGGCCTGGAGGACACATCGCCGGCCCACTGAGGCCACGGGCGGGTGCGGCCCCGGTTAGGTAAGGACCAGGTCGGGGGGGGGGGCCTGCCATCCGACCTGCCCAGCCAGAGACCCGGAGATGCCCTGCGTGTGCCTGCAGCCCGGGAGGGGCGCTCGGGGCCTCTGGAGGGACCAGGGATGGACCTGGTCAGAGGATGGCGCTGTCCTGGCTTCCATGCAAAGAAGAGCACGTCCTCCCTCCGGAGAGCGGCCACCCCAGACCTTCCGTGATGCCAGAGCAGGGCGCTCCACCCTCACGACTCCCGCGGAGGCTTCAGGAGAGCGGGCTCAGCACAGGGACCTGGGAGGCCGCTGCCACCGGGGCCGCCAGGGACAGGCAGAGCCGAAGCACGTTCTGCCCTGTAAAGACGGGAGGACGCTGGTGACGTGGCGCAGTGTCACGCTGTGTCTGGAGGTGATGGGAAGTGAGCCAGGACTGGCTCCACGTGGCCAAGATCGTTCAGGTGCGTGGCAGAGCCCAGAGGGTTTTCCAGCGTTTGCCTCGTGCGGGCAGCTACAGATGGGGCTCGTAGAAGAAGAAACACAAACTGGGGCGATTCAAAGGCAGCGGTGGCCCTTTCTGGGACACAGACGCCTTCCTGCCCATTTCCCCTGAGGCTGGTGGATAGGGGAGGCAGGGAAAACACCAACAGAATGGCAGTGAAGTGGGATGCTGTTTTTTATTTTTAAATATATCTTCAGGTTATTTTCTTACTGTGGCTTCAGATCTTCTGTAAAAGGATACGTCCCTCTTGTTTTCTGTTCTCCCCCTTTCGCCCCAGCCCAGTCATGGCTCCTTGCATGATCACGGTCTGGGGCCCGGGCCCCGGCCCAGAAACAGCGGCCTGTGTCCAGAGAAGACATGGTTGCCCTCCGTCAGGTCCACGGGGGCCGCGGGCTTCGAGCTTTTCCCGAATGTCATCTCTGGGAGAGTCACTTGTTTTGCAAAATACGTAGCATGGCTGAGACAGACATGCAAATGTCTGTCTCTCTGGTTGACCGCTTGCTAATTCTCGCTCCCACGGGTGGGGTCACCAGGCAGTGTCTTCCAGGCTCACTGCACCCCTGAGAACCGTGTGGTGGCATCCACAAAGCCCCCTCTCCCAGCTTGGTTGGGTGTGATACCCGTGGGGCCAGGGGCCTGCTCACCATGGGCCTGAAAGGCCGACATGACAAGCAGCTGACAGCACGACCTCTGCGTACTTCCCAGGACACTGGGGCCTTTCTGGACCAAGGGGCCCAGGTCTCCCTCGGAGACCTGGACCAAAACCTCGGCCAGGGTGGTCGGCCAGCGTGGCTGTCCCCACAGACAAGAAGCAAGTCATTTCTGGAGTTGACATGATTCCCCCTCAACCCAGTTCCTGTGCCCCCACCTCATTTTTACAGATGCGAAAACTCAGGCTTTGGGACTTTCTTCCTTGTTTTCACTCAGTGAATTAAGTGTCGCCGGCAGCATGCTCGCACCCACCTCCTTTCTGTACCCAGGCTCACGATGGTCACCTCGCCCTGTGGTTTTAATTCGATGCCACGGATTGTAGGCCAAATTTTAAATTGCGTTTCAGAACACCTTTGCCGTGTCCTTGAATTGGATTGAAAGCACTTTTACCACATGGAGAAATATATTTTTAATTTGTGATGCTTTTCTACGAGGTCCACTATTTCTGAGTTTAATGCGTTTCCAACACTTAGGGAGACTCTAATGAAAGCTGATGGGTTTTCTTTTCTGTCCAAATAAGTCAAAGAAAAAAAAATAAAAGTCTATTTAGATGTTGGCTTTTTGTTAATATGCGAGTTTTTTTTGGGAAGGTCTGGCACAAAAACCACCGCTCCTCTTTTAAGACTTGATTTCCTGTTGAATAATCCAGCGTGTGTGGTCTTAGCTGTTCCTAGTATCCTGAGCCAATGAGCGGTTGAAACAGAAATTCAGCTAAGTGTTGCCTAGTGGACACGAGAACTGCTGCCCAGTCCTGGGAGTGTTTCAGTCATATTTTGGGGCCCTGCCTTCCAACCCAGCAATTCTTCCTTAGCTCTTAGGCTGTGCGTGTCACTCCCATCTAACACGAGAAGCGCTACTGCGACGGGTGATGAGTGACTTCACGTTACTGAGTCGTTAGAGGGTGATTACACCGATTTACTGCTCTGGTTTTAAGACGGGGGCCACCTGTTTTCTGGTAAGTGATTGAAAGAGACGGCAGGTCAGTGGGGTTTCCAGTGGAGGCGTGGTGACCACACCAGCCTTCTCGAGGCTGAGAACACTTTACCGTTTCCTCCCAAAGTGACAGGCGGGGCTGACTAGGAGAACCTGCGGGTACCCGGCTGTCACCTTACGGACGTGCTCTGGAATGACTTTAGCAAGTGCTCTGGTTGAAGTTCACCAGGCTCCGTTCCTCCCCGGCTTTGAAAGCTGGCACGTCCGCACTGGAGGGGCCCGTTTAGAAGCTGGCCGTTACTGGTGGCCGGGAAAGGGGGCGCCAGCACAGCCCTGGCCCCTCCGCATCCCACAGCCGCTGGGACCCCTCTCCCTGCAGGCCCTGCCACTGTGGCAAGCCTCTCCCCCGCCGGAGGCCTTTGCTCCAGGGTCTGGAAAGGAAGGGTGGAACCGTGAGCTCCCCAGCCCCGCGTGAAACCAGACACCAGCAGAGCTTCTAAGCTTCTCCGGAGAAGGTCTGTTAGGCCGAATGCAAGTTCCGCTGACGTGGCTTCACACGGTCAGTGACGCAGTCCCGTGACCGCCCCTGTCTTTGGAAGTGGACCTAAGGTTGTTCTTAGGAGAACGGAACTTGAATGCATTTGTTTGCATTGGGTGCCTCCTTCATTAGGGTCTGTATTTCATGCACATCCCCTCTTTCATCCAGGCTCTGCTTCCCGGATGTCTCAGTTTTGATCAGTATTATACTGTGGTCACTGGAACAGTCCATTAGGGCCATACTTCAAAACCCAGGCGAGTGACATAGGAGACTCTTGATGTCTGGATCATTCTGGGCAAAGAAGTCCAGTGTACTGACTACATTAGACAAGGCCTGGCCACCAGAACCCAATTAACTCTGCAGTGGTGCCAGAGGCAAGGAGATGGCAGACCCCAGGATAGGGGCTGGGAGGTTCCGGGTTACAGCGTATGGCCGTGCCCCGCTGTCCCCTCCAGGGACCCCGCCCAGCATCCAGCATGACGGGGTCTCCCAGCCACGGAGGCACTGACCAGCAGAGGCGTGAGGCAGACACAGCGTCATCAGTGAGTGAAGTTCAGGGTCACAGACCTCATTCCTCCCACCCCAGCCTGCATTTAAGGGGGAAGGCACCCCGTCTGCAACAGGCCCTGGAGGGCTGGTGGGAACAGCTGGTGACAGGCTGATGGGAGGGAAAGGGGCGTGCCGTCCACCCTGTGGCTCACAGCACTGTCCTACAGGTGACCACGGGCAGACAGACAGGGCCCAGGCTCATGGACAGCATGCTCTGTGCCTCCAGAGCCCTGGGGTACAGGTATGTGGGGGCTCGACATAGCTGAGGTCACCGAAGGAAAGTTTCCCCGAGGGGCAAGCTCCCCGTGCGGCAGAGCTGGCAGGCAGCGCTGCTGCCGGGTCCGAGGCACACCCCGCTCGGACACGTGGGGTGCTTCACCTCTGCAGACACCAGACAGCTGCTACATTATCCCCGAGAAGGCGGAATCTCAGCCGCCTCAGAAGGCTGGACTGACCAGGACTTACCAGTTTGTACAAGTGTCTTTACAAAGTGTGACACCGCATGGGAGCAACAAGGCAAAAAGGGGTCCTAGCCATAACCGGCAGAAAGAAAGTTTCTCATCTCATAAATGCGCATATGCTGTTAGAAACTTTTTTCTTCTCAGCCGGCGGTTGGTTCTATTTTCTCCCTGGAAGCGCGGTACCCACCTCTTGCCCCAGCCTGACAGCTGATGTGGGTTCACCTGTCCCCATCTTCCTCCACGAAGAAAGGGTCATGACTTAGGCAAAAGTAGTGGTGGACAAAAAATGATGACTGGGCCAGACGAGGTTTTTAGCTTTTTTAATTGGCTCTTTCCTTAGACTGGACTGTCTTTGAAAAACTACACCTAGCTTCACACTCAGGAGCATCCTCGATACAGAGGGAAGGAGGGGATGGGGCTTCTGTTGTTTCAGTAGGTAAGAGATGCACTGAGAACAACTGTGTATGTTTTCAGGTGCGAATTTAAGATCCGGAGGTGCGGGATTGTGGGATTTTTGATTGAGGCATTTTTTGGGGTCATTTTCATCCATTTCAACATAATGCCATAGTATGATGTGACTCTTAAAATGTTATCCCCTTATCACTGCTTATCAATAGATGTGCAGAGTCCAAAGCGGGACAAACGCTCTGCCGCATCCTGTGCCAGTCGAGCTCTGTGTCCTGGCCCCCTCCCTACAGCAGGAGACACCGACCAGTTAGCGGCCAAGGACAGTGGGTCCACATCGGAACCAAATGCCAGGAGGGGCAGTTGGGGAAAGTGGGTGATGAGTGTGGCGGTGGGCTCTGGGCTTCCCGGGCCCCCTTTGGATGTGGTGTACATCACCAGGAGGTAGCCTTCTGCCCTGTGGGGAAGCAGTTTCCAGCACTTAGAGCTGCCCGACATTGACACGGGACACCTCTAAAAGCAGGGGACATGCTACCTGTCTTCTAAACGTCCACCATCAGAGGCAGCTCACCCCGTGGGAGGGTCCCAGAGGCCATTCTCAGTGGGCAGGAGTGGGGGTTGGGCAGGACGTCCTTGCTGGCAGCTCTGATCTTAACTAAGGAGGAGTGGAAAATAGCCTGGAAGAAAAGCCCTGGCCTCTGGCCCCTGGCCCCTGGCCCCTGGCCGATGCTGACTGGGATGGAGACATGGCTGTCTCCAGAGTGTGGCCTTGGCCTCCCAGCTGCTCAGCCCTCTTCCTCTGCCTCCGTGGAGCTTCCCGCTTAGCTCTGAGTTCAGGGGTCCCAATCAGTAGTGACAGGGAAATCTGTGCCAAGAATCTGGAAAGATCGCTATTTCGTTTGCAACATTTTTTGCCACCATGAACATTATCTTGTTTTTTCTACAGTTTCCAGTTAAGAATCTTTAGGAGAAAATTTGTATAAGCTTTTATTTTTGTGTTGTTATTTTTTAATGTGATGTAGGTTTTTTGTTTGTTTCTTGTGGGGGGTGGTTATTAGGTTTATTTATCTATTTTAATGGAGGGACTAGGGATTGAACCCAGGACCTCGTGCATGCTGAGCACACGCTCTAGCACTGAGCTCTGCCCTCTCTCCTTTAGGATAAAATTTTTAATCTTACCAGGAACTGCACATGTATGCAGCCCTCAGGGGACATCCCACAACCAAATCCCCATCTTTTTGTGTGGATAAAGCATCCCCTTTTGTCAAGATTTTGATTTTGATTGTGCTTGCAGGACAGTTTTATAGATTTCATGTACCACGAGCTAAATTCTGATTTCTAAAATATGAAGTTTGCCCCCTCCACAAAAATACGATTTAATTCAGCTCTCTCGTCATGTGATTTTTATTCCTTCAGCAAAGGTTGTTTGCTGTCAGCACCTCTGAAGCTCACGCAGGTATATTGCACTTGCTTCTCTCTGGGGGTTCCGTCTCGGGGGAGGGCTGATGAGGGACGGTGTGACACGGGAAATTCACGGAGGGCATCCTGGGACCTGTTGCTTGAAGGTAATAATAGCAGAGGTTAGGCAGCACCTGGGAACCACCCCAGGGACTCTCCTGAGGGGAAGGGGGATGGCGGGTAAGGGGGCTCCAAGGGTCACAGGCGCGTCCTAACACCTGAGCCTCCTCACCTCTGCGGCCGGTCCCGGGGGAGTCGGGGGCTCCCACGGGGATCCTACTCCATGTCCCCCACCCCGTATTCTCCATGTCGGGGGCCGGTGGGAGCTCAGGAGCCCCCACCATCAGAGGCCAGATGGTGTAGCCTGCAGCCTCCTCCACTGCTGCCTCCGCCACCGCCCTGTCCTCCTCCCCCTCTGCAGAAGGTTCTAGAATCAGAAGCAGGCAACTGGAGTGAGCACCCTCTGTCAGAAGGTGGGTCCTTGTGAGCAAAGTGAGAGATGGGAGGAAGCGTGCCCGCGAGTGGAGCTGGCGTGAGCAGGAATTGTTTTCCTTTGTATAATGAGGTACCACTTTCTTTTTACACTTCATTACAAGAGAAAAGAAAGATTTTGAGAAGCATATGCTCTTCAATCCAAAATAAGAATGAAAACTTTTTAAAGCACATCCTGGCAATGTTTTAAGTTCTGTAAGCCAAAAGGAGTTTTCAAACACCCTTTTAACGTTTTAACGATGTCAAATCGTTGCTGGCCACACCTTTCAGTAAGTGCCGGGTCTGCCTTTGTTTCATTGTTGCGTTGACCTCTGAGGTGGTCATCTGTAATCAGAGAC